ATTATTCAAGTTAGAAATCAATGGATTAAGGTATGTTCCGCATTAATTCAATTTTTTAATGGTTTGACATGAAGATCTTGACAAATTCATAAAATTTAAATTTTAATAAAGTTCCAACATCGAAATGAAGAAGAAGACGTTTGAAATAGTCTGCCTGTGTAGAGCATATGAGCTCTCACATGGGGACAGTCACGTCCAAGCCATCCTATCATCGAGCTTGATATAAATTAACACAATCATTTAGGTAAGATACAACTATAATATTTGTATGTGATTTATCATTGGTTTACATTATGTAGTTTAGCCACTCACAACTCAAGGAAAATCCTATTGTTCTACATGGGTAGAAGAAATTCACTAAGTTCTGACTCCAAGTGCTAGAAATAATACAATTTTAGCTCGAGTGTACAAGCGATAAATCGTGGGACCAAATATTTGGTTACATATAACATGAGAATGCAGACACCTCAACAAGTGGTGTCATTAGTGATTGTTGTAAGAGCATCTAATCAACAAAACTTGATTATGCAACAACTTGATTATTAATATTATTATTATAAACACTTTATTAAAGAGAAACTTTACCGATAGAAAAGACTAATCAATTTGCTATTAGCGCAATTTTATGATTTAATCATATGTTTGATAAGGATTAAAATCAAATTTTTAGTAGATTTTGATAAAAATTAATGAAATGTATGGTTGAAAAGTTGTAAATTCCATGAAATGTGTATCTAAAATTAATTATTGACTTTGATTTAAATTAAAATCTTGATTTTAATCTCCACTAAACAGGAACTAAATTTGATTTTGCCGTAACGACCATAGTCTTGGATTAGTATTGTTTTCAAGCTTATCGGTGACAAGTTACCAACTTGAATTAAACGCAATGATTGGTAATTATAACTTGCATAGAATTAATTTAGAAATTGGTTGCCAAATCTAATTATAAGCTGGCCCAATTTTTGACTCAAAGTCACAAAAGGAAAAAATAAAATAAAAAAAGATTATGTCGAATTTCTTCAATATTTGTATTTCAAACTTTAGAATCTTATTGAACTGAAATTCTGCAATTAAATCACACACGTGATTAGCTAATTTTTTAAAGATGATCCAATACACTTTCTATCCATAAATGTCGTAGAAATTACTATTCGCTTATTCTGACCTATTACTTATAAGTATTTGTAAACACTACAAAACTAGTACTTAGTGAGACCAAGATCTTGCTTTGTGTATAATGGTATAGTCATAGCCACATATTGACCTAATATCCCTGTAAGCCCCTGTTTGAGCTACATTCTCATTTTCAATCACAGATTTTTCAATAAAATAATATTTTCCATCAAATCAATAATTTTTCCTTTTTTTTCAACCACATATTCACCATCACATCACAAAAAGAAATGTATTCTCTCCTAAAAAATGTGCATCAAACATACTCTAAAATGAATTTTAGAAGGTCGTATTTCTTTTCTAATTTTGAGCAAGATTGAGATGGACTTGTACAGTGACAAAGTGGACATTCCTCTTGCGTCGAACTGAGGTCACCGTAAATTTATATATATTCTTTGTTTCTTTATGATTTACTTTTGTAAGGATTGTGACTTAACACGTAAAAATACGAGATTCCAAAAAGGGGAAGAAATCATGAATGTAGGATCCAACTTATCATCATGATACTAAAGACTCAAATGCATTATTTAAAAATGGAGGGACCATTTACATACCTTTTTTTTTTTCAATCACTACAAGATTTCTCACAACTAAAAGTGGCATAACATGTTAAACATACTGCCATGTCTCCTCTGTCTTCTACCCCATTCTCAGATTCTCTCCTTATTGTGCTTTCTGATATGTATTCCTCAGCAAAGCTTGAAGAAGTGGGACCTCACAAGAAGCACAGCATAACTTAGTAATGTATGCATATGGAAGACATATAATAATGTGACGCGATTTTATCATCCCAAAATGATACTGCTTGTTCGGGCATCAAAAGAGAACATCCATTTTCGACGAATATTTTCAATAAATTCATTACAAGTTTGTCCTTTCCTCCATTACATTTTGACTATACATCCACTCTGAAATTCTACTTTCTATCCACTAAAATCAGAAGTCTGTCAAAATGACCCTACGTTGTTGACATTTAAACCATATCCCGAACTTCTTGTCTTGAATAATCAATGAAATATGCTCATCAAACAACATAATTCAATTGATCCTACTTTGCCTTTATAATCGAGAAAAAAGATGTTGATGAGAAAAGTGTAATGTGCAACTTTTTATACGAGAAAGCATAAAAAATAGAAACTTTGAGAAGAAAGGGATTTCTATGGTAGAAAACACCGTTTAGAGCCAATATACAGGAAGTTACGTGATAAGTTTGTATATATTTTCTCGCGCGTTCCCTTATAACAATTTTCACGTAGTAGATAATCTCCAATGTAAAGATCATTCTCTATATCTATTTATATATGCATCTTAATATTTTCTTTTCACAATCCCAACTCATAAACTAAAACCAAACTTTTGCAGTTGCTTCTCTCTATCTACATTACTCTTATATTCAGCTTCTTTATTCTTACCAGAGATTGAAAAATGCTGTCCACATGAAAGTTTATGCCCTTTGCTATTCCTGCAGGCATTGCATTGCTTAACCTTCTACCATCAGTCTGTTCATCTCAAGATCGTGCAGAAATATATAACAAACACGCGAGCAACAAACACAAGATTCACGAGGTATTTTTTTTTATTGGAAGAAATCTTTTTTCTATCAGTTTTTGATGAATCTAAGTAGTGTGTGTATTCAATTGAAGATGAATCCTCAACTGTTATTCGAGATTAAACTCCATGGATTCCTCTTCTGGGCTTCTTTTGGGTTTTTAACGCCGATCGGTATACTTGTAATGAGGAAGTCAAATGGAGAGGAATCTGTAAGAAGGCAAAGGATCATATTCTACATTCATGTTATGGCACAGGCAAGTCCATGTTTTCCATTTTTGCTACCTTTTTTCATCAAATTTGCGAAAGTTAAATCATAAATGGAAGTCATTGTCTCCCCCAATTCCCCAATGATGTCATACGTCTTTTGAACACATGATAAACAAAGTCAAGATAACGTTATAGTGGTTTAGTCTCAACGTGAGAGTTGCGCCTAGGTTTTTGTGATCGATGTGAAAATAAACCACCTCCACTAAAAATCGTTATTAAAGCGATCCACGATCGATGAGATAAATCTAGTTTTAAATGGTCCAACAAACTCTACAGTATAGAAAAGGTATCATTAGAACTTGAAACTTTGTTAATTAATTAGATGGAAATGACCCAATATCAACTTTTAATGACACTCAATAAATTGAAAAATAACTATCCTTGATTCTACTAATTATTATCATTACTTGGACGGAAAAGTAATGGCATTATGCTTAATTTTAACTTTACTTATTTTCTATTGCTATGGTCCCAATATGAATTATAATATGATCTGCAGATTCTAGCAGTCCTCCTTGCAACTGTAGGAGCAGTATTGTCAATGAAATACTTGGACAACTCTTTCAATAATCTTCACCAGAGGATAGGCATAGCCCTATATGGTGGCATATGGCTGCAAGCCTTGATTGGTATTTTAAGGCCACATAGGTAAAGTATCTATATTTTTGAAAACACAGAAACTTCTTGCCTGTTTGGGATTGCTTCTGCTTTTCGTAGAAGAACTTTCAAAGAAAGTCACATTTAGCTAGCTTCCTCCAAATCTAGCGTGGAAAAATATTTCTAGAAATTTTTTCAAACAGGACTAGAATCAACTTTTGACTTTTCAAAAGTTTTGCCAAACAAGCTCTTCTGAAATGCTAGATTTCAGTAAGGAGCACGTTCTGAAAAAAGGTTTTGTGTGCAGGGAAAGGAAAGGAAGAAGCACATGGTATATTTTTCACTGGTTACTAGGGATTACAGTCTCTTTTCTGGGATTAATCAATAATATGTGTCCAAATGTTCGAATGGTTGAAAAAACATCGAAAAGTGCAAGGATTTGGACCATAATTTTTACTGCTCAAATATCTGTCATGATCTTCTTGTACCTTCTCCAAGAAAAGAAGAATTACATACAGAAACATGGGGTGATTTTAGCTGTACAGTCAAATGATCAAGATCTGGCTCCAAGAAATAAGCAAAAAGAAACACCAGCACAGAATTGTTGAGGACTTGGATCAAATTTCTTTTCATTATTTGTCCACATTGACATTGGATTCTTCCTAACCTTTTTGTGCTTTTGCACCATCTCAGTATAATGAGATGAGACCCCTTTTTCCACTTCTAATATGTATGAAATGAAAATTGAGTAGGAAGTTGATAAATTTTCTTAAAATCAAGATGCAATTTCTGCTGAATTTGCATTTGATTTAAGTTAAATTTCAATATACTAAGTTTTTCTGTTGATTTTGTATTTGCCTTAAATGAAATACAAATATATTATTTAAAAGTTTTTCCATTTAACTATCCTTTTTATTGTACCTATAAATGACATCATATTTAAAATAACATCTTGCTATTTGCTAATAATATATGATCGAGTAAGACATCAAGATTTGAGTGAGCGACAAGATCTTAAGTTTTCTAAAATAGAAAATAATAGCCCGAAATTACCTTGAAACTCATTTTTTAAGGGATTGGGAGGGGTAAGGCATTCTACTCATTCGACAAAAGCTCTCATTTTAAGAAAGTAGTCCTTTTGACTTTACAATTCTATTATCCTTTCTCTATGCAACTCAAGGCTAAAGGTGTCAAGACGGATGGGCCGGCCAGACCTGTAAAAAGAGAAATTATAATAATTCAGGTGTTTAAAGATTGGAATTTAAAATTCAGGGACCAGATTTTATTATTCAAAAATCAGGTGGTATAAAAGCTGTTTAACCCTAATTCCTTCCCTTCCTCTTCCCACTTCCCCTTCCCCTCTCTTTCTCCCTCCCNTATACACAGGTTTACAAGCTTACCACGAAAAAACATCGAAAAGTGCAAGGATTTGGACCATAATTTTTACTGCTCAAATTTCTGTCATGATCTTCTTGTACCTTCTCCAAGAAAAGAAGAATTACATACAGAAACATGGGGTGATTTTAGCTGTACAGTCAAATGATCAAGATCTGGCTCCAACAAATAAGCAAAAAGAAACACCAGCACAGAATTGTTGAGGACTTGGATCAAATTTTCTTTTCATTATTTGTCCACATTTTGACATTGGATTCTTCCTAACCTTTTGTGCTTTGCACCATCTCAGTATAATGAGATGAGACCCCTTTTTCCACTTCTTATATGTATGAAATGAAAATTGAGTAGGAAGTTGATAAATTTTCTTAAAATCAAGATGCAATTTCTGCTGAATTTGCATTTGATTTAAGTTAAATTTCAATATACTAAGTTTTTTCTGTTGATTTTGTATTTGCCCTAAATGAAATACAAATATATTATTTAAAAGTTTTTCCATTTAACTATCCTTTTTATTGTACCTATACATGACATCATATTTAAAATGACATCTTGCTATTTGCTAATAATAAATGATCGAGTAAGACATCAAGATTTGAGTGAGCGACAAGATCTTAAGTTTTCTAAAATAGAAAATAATAGCCCGAAATTACCTTGAAACTCATTTTTTAAGGGATTGGGAGAGGTAAGGCATTCTACTCATTCGACAAAAGCTCTCATTTTAAGAAAGTAGTCCTTTTGACTTTACAATTCTATTATCCTTTCTCTATGCAACCCAAGGCTCTCACCCACCCCCAAACACGGAATCAAACATTCACGTAGGGATGGCAATGGTTCGGTTCGGGGTCGGTTCGGCCAAAACCATAACCGCACCACCAAATTTTTAGTCATACCATAACCGCACCATAACCACGAAAGTCGGTTCGGTTCGGTTCGGTTAATAACCACGAAAATAAATTATTTTTTATAAATCCAAACTCCAACCGTCAAATTGAAAAAAAATATATGAAGAAAAGTCAAAAAAATAAAAAAACATGTCAAGACATCTAAAAATAAAATACATCAATCGAACATATTTAGAGCCAGTAGATTGAGCTCTGCAGTTTTATCTGATCAGAATCCACAATCATCTCC